ACACACACATATATATGTAAATACAAATGTATATATAATATATATATATACATACATATATATACATATACATATATACATATATATATATACATATATACATATATAATATACATATATATAATATATATGCATATATATAAACATAATATATATATATATATATATTTACTTATATATACATATATATACAGATTATGAATACACATATATGAATACACATATATATATATATATACATATATGTATGTAAATATATCTATATATCTCTCTCTATATATATACATATATATACTCACACGCACACACATACATACACACATATATACATATATATACATATCTATATACACATATACATATATACATATACATATATTACGCTATATATACATATATATACACATATATATGCATATATATATACATATATATACATATATTATATATATATATATATATATATATATATATATATATATATATATATATATATATATATTCGACATCAGGCCATGTCTTGGGATTACTAATCCAAACATCAGCTAGCATCTGTATGGACAATTCCTCCAGCTTTACTTTTTCAGTTTCTCCATGTAACGAATTTTTGCTTCTTCTAATGTACTGAAATATCCCTGTGACACCTCAAGGATGTCGTGAAAACTATTAGAAAACGTGAAATGAATAGAGAATGAATATCGCAGTGTTTAGGCTGGCGGCAACATTTGCAGTGTGTTTTCACCCCGTGGAAAGGTTGCTATGCGTTGCCAAGCTGCTGACGTCATGCAGAATCGCCCTATTATGACGGTCTCAACTCGATAGGAATTATTATCTTTTTCATTATTTATACCTCTCCAACAGATTCAAGATTGCCGACCACTACGAAGTAAGTGATAACTAGACCTCACTACACAATATAAAGGATTAGGTACTCTATAACTAGGATTTACCTGTTAACAGTTGGTGCGTCATTGGCACAATTTTAACACGGCAAACTGCTTCCTTTACAAAGCGAAGATCTACTTTGTTATATACGCACCCACTGATGTCTCAAAGTGATCACTACTGCTGAAAAAGTATTTTCACTTCGTTTCCTATTTATATTGTCCTTAGTTTCTCTTCTTCACAACGTAAGGAATGGTAATGTATAGCAGATCTCTAAAAGGCCTGTGAGCCCTAATGAATTTAACAAGTGCAAAGTTGGCGTCCACGATCTCAAGCAAGAAAAGCCAGTTAGTTAAAAATTGTGCGAGGCCCGATTCTGTGAATATCTACATGTACAGATATGCATATACACAGAAATGCATATGTCTATATATCTGTCCGGTAGATATGCATGTCTGAACTGAGAGATGTGCATTATATTTCTATATATATGCATGTCTGTATAATGAATATTTCTTGGGTCGGGTCTTGCACAATTTTAACAAACCGACCGAAAGTATTTGAAGATATTTGCAATAATGATATCAGTCTGGATTCATTTTTCGTGTGACAGCAGTCTAGAAATTCATCGTTGTATTCTTTTCGAAGGATGTGTGTTTTATTCACATCCATTAATGGTAATATCGATAATTAATAGCTCCACCCAGACACAGGGGCTGTCTGGCATCATAATTGCTGGGTGGCTGGCAAACCAAAGAGGCCCGGTTCAGGGTGTGGCAGATAAGATTATTTTAACTACATCCGCTAATAAATGAATCACCTTGAATACGTAAATAAATACTAAATAAATACGTAAATAAATACATGAATAAATACGTAAATAAATACGTAAACAAATACTTAAATAAATACATAAATAAATACGTAAATAAATACATAAATAAATACGTAAATAAATGCTTAAATAGATACATAAAGTTTATGTAAATTACCTTCTCCAGCTTTTTCGAGAAGGGTCGTAATTTTCTTTAACTTACATATTGCCACTCTGCCAGCCGGGCCAAACCTTGCCTGCCCAGGCAAACCAATGACTGATCTATAAATACCTAACATCAAAACAAAATGAACAGCAATTGTGTTGAGCTCAGCGTCCATAACCGTGCCAAACCATGAGATTTTGTGAGAAACGAAAGTTGTGTCAAGAAGTTTTATAATGTCACTTCTGCCAGAATAGACATTAAATCACTTATCCGCATACATACAGTATCTCGTTATTAAACTGTGTGATGAATAAGGTATATATATTTTTTCGTTTTTGTCCTTTTCTCCTTTTGCTTTCCATTTCGTCGCATTTTTTTATTATTATTTCAGCATTCTCATACAGATTCATGAGACCGTCTCTTTTGTGGGAGATAAGTCCTTACTTTGTGGAGAAAATATCGAGGCATATTATAGTAGTTAACCCTGAATTTGTCTCATGATCCGTTCTCCCAATTTCTATGCTCTTATATCCAAACTTTTTATCTGATTTGCGGATTGATACATTGGGCACTTCATATGTCATTTCTTTATTACTCAACGACATCTCAGTTTTCGTACGCTGCCAAATGATTAATCTATATTCGTGCATTTCTTGCAAGGCACAGATGCAGGAACTTAACCTGAAGCAATGTCTCCATAGAGTTTTGTCTACTTTGATTGCATGATTAAACGAGAAATTCTCTTTTTTCTCTTTCTCTCTTTTTGGGAAAGCTGTTCCTCTTTGTCACCTGCAAAACTATGCGGAATGAGATTACGTTGAAATTCAGCAAATTCGAATTTATATAGTCAACTTAGAAAAGGGCATTCCAGGTGTCTTTCTCTTACTTTCACGGAAAGGAAAGCCAGCGTATATATATAGACAAGAAGGCAGATAGAGAAAGCGAATGACTGAAAAGTCGAACCCATTCTCTATTCGCACTTCATCACAACACAGAATCATTCAAAATAGCCGCCATTCCCACTTTCCTGCATCCACTATAGCCATGAGTTATGATCGCATAATCAGCTGATCATCAAAACATGACCCGAGGCTACCTGCGTGGCCAGTCAAAGCTACCTGTACCTGTTCAAACCTCCTGGACCCGTGCCAAGGCATGATAAGGTACGCTTATTCATTTCACTTGCAAGAGGTGTGTCTCAGAACGTAAGGCAGTCATTTATTTGAGTATTGTTCAGTGTTGCGTGTTGAGAAAGGGTGTTATTTACTCATTCTCTATACACTGTAGAGTTCAGTACTAATAGACAGTGTATTAATCTTCCAGAGGACACGATTTATGTATTAGAGGTTTGTTTAGCCAGTATTTTTGTTACTAAACCTGAATTTCATGAAGGAGTGAGTCATGTTTTTGCGTAAATATCTTGACTGTCGTTTGTGTGACGTTTCTTTTATTATTTTGTTCTATTCGTTATGATTGTCTTGTTACTAAGCAGAGTAAAAAGTGGAATATTTCACATGTCATGTCAATTGACCAGTAAATGCCATTTGATTATTATGTAAGACAAATTTGTATAACAAACATTCCTCTGTTTGCCATATGTCTGTTGTTGTAGTATTACATATATTACATTACTTGTGACTTAAAAGAAGCTTTAGGAGCATGTAATCCTTTAAAACAGTAATTTGTTGTTATGATGTGGAATCTTATTTGATAATTGTTACTGATTGTGACACACCCTTCCAGAGCCTAAGTAAAAAAAAAGAAAAAAATGTTTTTTCTGTAGAAAACCCAGTGATTTCAACAATTTTGATTTCATAGTCCCAATAGCAAGGGACAGCAAAATCTATGGGAATTCACCCCCCCCCCCCCCAAAAAAAAAAAAATGTACTGACCAATAAACCAACCTAACCTAACAATTTAAGTTGCCGTGGATGTGTGCCCTTTGGGCACTGCCGGAGGGGAGGGTTGATGGGGGCTCCACCCCCAACACCCCCAGGGAAACATTCTCTTCACCTCGGTCTGTCTGGCAAGATAGAGTTGCGTTCATGCAGTAAAATGAAAAACCATATACCTTTATATCTGGAAATGTCAAACTTTCATTCGTTTCTTTCTACCATCTGGAGTGCTTCGATTTTCATCTTTTTTCTTTTTGGCATTTGGGGCACTTGATGGGCTCAGATATTAAACTTAGTTACTAAAGTCTATTTCTTCTTCATTGCCACTGTACAGTCTTAAGGATAACCCAGAATCAACACAACACTGGAACGCAACATTTCTCTCCAACGTTCTGCCACAAAATGACCAGTTCGAACTGTCAAACCCAACCCACTGGCTGGCGATTGAAAGTGTGAAACATGTGATGCACAGAAAATTCTAAATAATTGTATAGATAAATCTTAAAACACGTAAATGCAGTATAATTACATTATAAAATGTTGTAACAGCAGACACTTATAATTAGCCAAATATTGTTTTGACAAGCGCATACTAACACATGAACTATTTCGGATATCACAGTAATGAGTATTGTGATCAATTGTGTTATTCATGGCAAGGTAAATAAGATGAGCGACATTGAATCTGAGCGGTGATATGCAGGGTTTATTTTTGTCATTTAGCGGTGACTTATGAGGCCATTGCAGCTTAAACTATGTTTTTATCCTATTCTATTTCTTCCACTTTATAAGATGGTGTGTCCATTTCCCTCTATCTATGCACTTGCTATAAGTAACTTATACCTCGTATTTTACTCATCTTTATGCTTGACTGGTAATATTACTAATAATTTGGAAAGGTGATATTTTGATTTAAATGGCATTATATTATAGCTAAAAGTTTAAGATGGCTTTACAGAGGTAATATTTAAGAATGCCTTTACAATAGGTAATTTAGTAGAAAGAGATATAGAGTAGGAAGATGTATAAACATATAAATGTACAAATATATTTATAGATAGGTAGATAAATAGATAGATAGGTAGATTACAGTAACTGTGTATTGAGTATGATTATGTAAATCATATGAATAATTCCTCAGTGATTAATTCTGTTCATCATATGTAAAACTTGTAACCTCTTATCTTTCAGGATGCCTTTACAAGAGATTGATAAAGTTGGGGATGAGAGTGGTGGGTCATCACTCTGAGGCCCTGGAGGATATCCCCAGCACTGATTCGGGGGAAATTATATTGTTGTCCCTTCCTCAAGCAAACAACACCATCCCATCAGAAAGTGATGTCAGTGCCCCCAATGAGATGGAAGATGGTGTTGAGAGTACTGGTAGCCTTCTAAATGAGGAAAATGAAGAGCAGAAGTCAACTTGGAACAGCGAAAGATCTGGTGCTACAGATTTCTCAAATCAAGATATATCCCAGATAGATGATACAGTGCTAAATCAGGCTGAACCAGTGACAAATCACTTGCAAGAAGTAGCTGCTGATCACAGTGAAGTAAAGGAGATGGAATGCTACAGTAGTAGTGATGTCATTCAGCAGAATGAAGAAGAGGCAGAAGCATTCACAGCTAAAAAGCCTCTGCAGCTCAGGAATGACGAACTCTCCTTTGGTGAAACCGAGTCAGAGTCTGTTGTAGATTTAAGTCTTATTTCAGGATCAGACAGTCTTTCTTCATCAATAAAACCTCAGAAGATCAAGAAACGATCAAAAAAGATGAAAAGCATTAAGGTTGTGAGGGATGGAAAGGATTCTGACTCATCTGTGTCATCCAAGAAGAAGGGATATAGTCGGAAGATATTAGTCAAGTGCAAATTTGCTCCTGAGGGTCTCAAGTATATTGAAGATTGTTTGAGAGGACACATATTTTCTGGCTGGGTAGACGAACGGAAGTGGATTGAAAATCTAGGTAGTTATAGAGACATTGTGGAGGTGGATGAGTGGGAAACTGACCTAAGCAAGCAGCTGAATATCATTATCAGGAAAATTCCAGGTGTTCAGGAAGGTACAAAGTGGATTAACATAACACGTAAGTAGGATCAATTTTTCTCAATTATGAAAAAATTAATTATTTTCAAATGGTTTCTTTCAAGATCACAGTCATATAATTATACTACATATGTTCTTTACTCCCTAAGATTAACAGTAAGTTAATTAGTCTTATATGTTTTCTTTTTTTAGCACCTTCTGCAGCCCATCCTAGTTACTGCTTATGGGTTTTACTTGAAGAAGCACCCATTCCTGGTCACTACTGGTTTGTCATAACTAGTGTTGGTGTGCAGTCTCTTTTTGGTCTGAAAATTTCACTGAGAATTATCAGGTATGTTATATTTTATGAGTAACATGATTTTATTTCTCTCCATATGAAGATCTGTGTGTGTATATATTTGAAGTTTTATGTGCTTTTTTATATTTTATCCCATAAAGGAAAGGTGACTTTCTTTTTTTGCATGTGTGGTACTGGTTTGTTTAAAGAAAACTTTGTTACCGAATCAGGCAAAAGATGCATGAAGGAATCAGAACAGCAGAAAAAAGAGAGGCTTTGATGATGTTCACTTCAGAATAGAACAGGGCTGAGTGCTGCCGAGTAGTTGGGATGTTGCATCAGGTTCACTTTATACCTCTACTATATCAACTATTTGTTTTATGCAATAGGTCTTTGGAATACGAGTGCATTCTGAAATAACCATCGTTTGGGAGCTATATTACACATTAGGGACATAATGTTACTGACAGCAATATAAGATAAAAGAAAGTATTTCCAAAATAGGTAATGGTAAACAGGTTAGATAGGTAGTACCAGCAATTGGCTCATTGATGACAAAGTACTTATGGAGCTATCTGTGTAAATTATTAATAAACTAAACTCACAATGGACATGGTATGTACAGTTGTCCACATTTCCAGCTGGTACACCCCAATTGTGTGTGGACTGATTTTTCCTGGCTATACATGGAATGCTCTTGTTTATAAGGAAGTCTGTGATTGGCACCTGATATTTCATTAATATTTTCACTGGCAAATAATATCAGCCATTAAAATCATGTTAAAGAGTTCAGAAACACTGCAAAGTTTTATACAATACCAATATTATTGCTTGAAATATGTGTTTTTTCCTTAAAAAAGAACAATTGGAAATGGTATAACTGGCAAATGTAGCACAATCACAATAGCCAAACATTGATGACAAAAGTTAAACAAAAAATGTGTTTGTAAAAATATGAGTTTTCATTAAATTTACAAATGTAAAACACATTATCTTAAGAAGGTGAAATATGAATCGCATGTTCTGTTATCTGTAAATGGGTTGTTCATGATGATGAGTTGTAAGAGGTCCGGAATGCACATTTGGATCACTTGGAGTGATCCCTTGAATATCAAGATTTGCAGAGAACATTAGGTCAGAAATTTCTGACAGGTTGTCAGATAGCATTAAGGAGGACTTGCGCACTTACACACGCATGCATGCGCACACTCCCGCTCAAGCACACATGCACTCGCACACACACACATGCACTCGCACACACACACATGCACTCGCACACACACACACACTCGCACACACACACACACTCCACACCCACACACACATCACACACACACCCACACACAACACACACACACACACACACACACACACACACACACACACACACACACACACACACACACACACACACACACACACACACACACACACACATATATATATATATATATATATATATATATATATATATATATATATATATATTATACATATACATATTTAGTATATAAAAATTGTCAATTCCAGACTCGTGGTGTACCAGTTGGAAATATGGGTAACTGTACATAAATGCCATCTACAGTGGCATAAAGTTAAAAATATCAGATGTGATTTTCATTCAGTATCATTATGACAGGAGCATCCATCCTCAAGACTATGAGGAAGCAGAGACCCGCAGTATAAGAAGGAAGCAGTTAGCATCAGATGATCCAGGCAAGGAGATGCAGGCAATCAGCCAGCAGTTTGCTGACTGGTGGGACCAAGCACAGAATCTGAACTTTGCACTGGTCTGGTCTGCCATCGCTACAACTTTCACTCTTAGCAACATTCGAGATGCTATCAGGTAGGATATTCTAAAGAGCTGACAAGATACTGTTTTAAAGTACCATATATTTGGTATTTGGTTGTTGAACTTCATCTAAGGACTTTATCTGTATAAAGAAATATTCATGTTATACAAAATCTTTTCCTTTCAGATTCCTGATAATACTGATTGTTACACTAACAGTTGGCTTGATGACATTCTTGAGAGAATCACATCATGTGGTGCTTAGATTCATCCATGAAGCAGGGATATTCCTCCACAATGTGACCCCATTCCTCCAGTCTGTGATGTCATTCGTGGAGAAGATCCTGGGTGGCTTGTATTTATTACTAGCCATGGTCTATAGGGACTGGAGACGATCATGTGCTTCACCTCCACCGTCTTTCCAAGGTCCAAGGCAGACACCCTTGCCCATCATGCCAGACAGTGCTCCTCCACCCTCTTACCCTCCAGCTGGGCCAAGGGTGGTTAAGTATGTAGCACCAGAACAGTGGGTATATAAAAGGCAAGATAATGTGCAGCCACCAAACGTAAAGAAATAAAAATCTGTATTTTTTTCTTAACTCCAGAATGGTGTTAGATCAAGGTGTTTAAATTGTATTGAAAAGATATTATTTTATATATTTTGAAAATTTGGAAATATATTTTAATTTTTATGTACTAGCTTTTGCTTTTTAGTTTAGATTATTTTCTGATACACAGGTATTGATATATTTGTAACTATGCTCGCAATGGATATATATTTGATGGTACTAATCAAGATGATAATGATAGCCATTATTATTACTTTTAGCAAATGCTATATCAGTTAATATTAAGTTATCATTCTAGTCTTTCATTCCTTTTTTCAAGTGAGATAAAACACTATCATACTAGTCACCTAGGCTTGTTGAATTAAGAAACAGTTCAAAATACCAAATTTAAAAGGAGAATGTTATATATATTTATACATTTTATAACAAATTGTATTATTTTATTTTCAGCTTCCCTTGGTGATTATGGATAGGAAATTGTGATATATAAAAGTAAAGAAGTGCCTTTTCATATTAAGATTACCATTGTGCCTCATTATGAAAACAGTTACTTTACTAAATTCCTGAAACATAAAGGGAAGACAAATTTCAATGTAAATGATGTTATTGAGATAGATGCCAAATATTTAGTGGGCATACAAGAGTAGTAACTAACTTGATGAAATTTGGTGAGTGACCTCTGCCAACCTATATACAGTATAATAGATGCTTAATCGGGAGGCTAGTCGGTTGGTTGACTAAATAGTTCCTAGGGAGAGTGTTTTATAGTGGCATTGTTGCCTTAGCTTGATCCTCAGTGTAAAATAAAGTGCATCACCGCCTTTAGATATTTTGTAGCAATTATAGAATGAACTATGTGAAAAGAAATTTTGGTAAAACTTCTTTTATCACAGTATTTCTAAGTACATTGGTAGATTTTTTTGAAAGCAATGGTTCTCAACTGGTGGTACATGAATACTGTTTTGGTGGTACACTGGATGTTCAAAGTATTTGACAATAAACTGAAAATTCTTACACATACAATACAAAAATGTGATCAAAATATATTATTAACTGTTCACTGTATTATACTTCTTTAAGAAATATATTGGTAATGTGAAATTTAGGTTATAGAAGTACTGCAAGAAGTACTTTAAGTTTCTAAAAGGAATGTTGATATTCACACAGCTATACCTGCCCTCAGATGCATACAAAGGAGTCTATTTGTAAGAGGTATATAACAAACCAAATTTTAGTTTTTGGTCAACTCTTTTTTTATCATTACTCAGAGAGGAGATAGTCCATTTTTTTATTAGCCAGGTAGTCTGTGACCTAAAACAAGTTGAGAACTACTGCCACAGATCTTGTGATGGAAAAAAGAAAAAGTTTATATTTGTTTAATGACTAAATGAAAAAGGTTTATACGCTGTGACCAAAAAGATGTGATGTTTCATATATTGTGATTGAGAAGAATGTTTATGTGTATTGTGATGGTGGAAAAAGATATTTTATAAAAGTACATATATATTTTAGAACTTATCATATATTAGGCTCATTTAATTTTTAGAGCCTTTTTTGAAAAGTATTGTTGGCCCTGCTAGACTATAAAAATTACTTCCATTTATAAATTTACATGACTAGAAGTAGAAATGGCCCCAGAATTTAGGCACAGCCTCTGGCAGTACTTGTCCTTAAAATTGTACCGATAGATGTCATAACAGTGCTTTTAAAGTGGCCTTTATAATTTTGCCAGTACTTTTTCAGGTCAGGTGCAGAATGATTTTGGAGCCATTTTACCTGTAATAATTGGTAAATTATGGTATATGAATTGATGTGCAGAGGACTCATTACAGTACTGATGTAATATCCCAGGTTTTCATGTGATCAATTTAATTATTCTTTATTGCTTTTTCTAACATAGATTACTGTTTTGAATAATACTTCATAAGCATTATTAACATTTTAACATTATTATTGCTGTCATTTCAATTATTATTGACATTACACTAGTCATTATTATTATTGTTATCATCATTATTATTATTGTTATCATCATTATTATTATAATTATAATTATTATTGTCATCATTATCATTTTTATTATTATCATCATCATTGTTAATTATATTATTACTATCTTCATTACCATCATCATTATCACTATTACTGTTATTATTGTGTATATATTTATTTTCTGTATTATTCTTGTTGATTTATATTATTATAATATTTTTTTTATCACAAGATAGTGATTAATTATAAAATAATTTTTTTTGAAGGAGAGGTATGTGATGATTTTTTTTTTAGTATATAATGCCAGCCATTTGTGATACGTATTATTATTGAATGATTCATAAGTCAAAGGTACAAAAGTTTTTCCAAAAGGACTTGAAATTTTCTTTGTCTCTTGCTACTAAAATATAGGCATAAGACGATGAGCAGAATATAAGGAACATATTTTTGGTGCATGAAAGGAAATTTGATTCCTGCATTGTAGATATTTTTGATTTACTTCAGGCTTTCATTTAGTCTTTTATATGCAAGTACGTTTTATTAATGATTTTTGTTGGACACAGATCGGCACCACTAGTGCTGTCACCAAAGAGTCAAAGAGTCAATTACATTTAGAATGATGCATGGGAATGTAATATACTGCAGTAAACTGCAGATATCATTTGGAAAAAATATCAAAATGTGAATGCCATAGTATTTTAAAGGGCATTTTAAAGAATTGTAATGAACTTCAATGAACACAGATGCATGCTCTCTCTCTCACTCTCTCACATTCACTCTCACTCACTCTCTCACACTCACTCACTCACACTCACTCACTCACTCACTCACTCACTCACACTCACTCACTCACTCACTCACTCACTCACTTCACTCACTCATCACTCACTCACTCACTCACTCACTCACTCACTCACTCATCACTCACTCACTCACTCACTCTCACTCTCTCTCTCTCTCTCTCTCTCTCTCTCTCCTCTCTCTCTCTCTCTTCTCTCCACTCTCTCTCACTCTCTCTCACACTCTCTCACTCTCACTCACTCTCACTCTCTCACACTCACTCCACTCTCACTCACTCTCACTCTCACACTCACTCTCACTCTCTCACACTGTCACACTCACTCACTCACTTTCTCACACTGTCACACTCACTCACTCACTTTCTCACACTGTCACACTCACTCACTCACTTTCTCACACTCACTCTTACACTCACTCACTCTCTCACACTCACTCACTCACTCTCACACTCTCTCACTCTCACTCACACCCTCTCACTCTCACTACACTCTCTCACTCACTCACACTCTCACTCTCACTCTCTCACACTCACCCTCATTCTCTCACACTCACTCTCACTCTCTCACACTCACTCTCTCACTCACTCTCACTCTCTCACACTCACTCTCACTCTCACTCACTCACTCTCTCACTCACACTGTCACACTCACATCACTCACTTTCTCACACTCACTCTCTCACACTGTACAACTCACTCACTCACTTTCTCACACTCACTCACTATCTCACACTCACTCACTCTCTCACACTCACTCACTCTCTCACACTCACTCACTTACTCTCTCACACTCACTCACTTACTCTCTCACTCTCTCCCTCTCTCTCATCCTCTTTCTTTCCCTCCCTTTCTCTCTCCTTCCCTCCCTTTCTACCTCTTTTTTGCCTGTGTGAAGTATCTGATATTTGGTTAATACTGAGGTAACTAGAAAGCACTTATAATGGTTTGCTGAAATGAGTCTTGTAAGAAGTTTATACATAGTTTATTTTTTACTTTTGTAGATGCTTTAACATTATATAAGAATTATTAGTTTAAGGAACTAATAAAAAGGCGCATATTTTTGTAGATGAAGGCTTACGGTTGTGGAATAGCCTGCAGTATGCCTCTGAATATATTTTGTATTTGTTACATGTGGAAAACAAAACTTCTATGAAATTATATATGCCAATAAATACTCAGATTTATTTAAGTGAATTCTATGCCACCTTTCTATTTTGTACTGATATATATTTATTTTTTAATGAAGTAGGGCAAATGATGTATGCCAAAAAGCAGACAGACAGACTGACACAGCACAGATAGCACATATACACATGTGCATCCATTCACTCACACACACATGCCCCCCCCCCCTGATATTTCGTGATCCCCCACAGCTCCTTACTTGACAACACTCTTCTCATTCAGCAATGTCTCCAAAAACAAGTAGGCAAAGTCTTTCCGTAGCCGACCCGATCGTTCCCGTGTCTTGTCGCAGTTACATCCGACAACACAAGTTATAGCATTATTCATCTCTAACTGATCTATCTGGCATTCCCATTCTGCAGAACCTCATTCAACCCCAATACTTGTTTCGGACTGTCTCTATCTCCCGCAGCCCTAACTATAACAAACATTAATAGCCACACGGACTACGATGTAATATCAGTACA